TTCAGAATAGTTAGCAATTTTTTATATAACTTTTAATGTATAAATTTTTCATATAATTTTATGGATCTAACTATTTCTAATCAATTAGTTTTAAAAATTCTTTTCTGTGTGATATCATTTTAAAATATAATAAGAACAATATAGGCAGATAATTAGAAGACAATATTATTATAAATTTTTTGTATGACTTGATTTTTTTATATGGCTTATAAAATTTTCATGAGTTATTTGACATAATAAATTTCTTAATAATGGCTTTAGAATATTTTCTTGTATATTATGATTTTGAATATAGCTGAAATGAAACAAAATAATATTTAAAGTTTATTCTTATTATCTAATTTTTGTATAATTTAACAAGTTAAATCATACGAAAAAATTTTTTATATCCTAAAAGTGAGACTTAGTGATCATATGAATATGATTATGAATTAGCTTTAGAATTAATTCTAGGATATCATGAAATATGGTATGTATTTTAGACTTACATGATCAGATATATTTTAAATCATGTATTTTATTCCTTAATTTTTGATTGCCATTCTAGGAGGCAAATAGAATAATATAAAAATTTTATTCTATTGGGTTTGCAAGATCAAGCTTATTTCAAATCACATCACTTTATTTCTTGATTTTCGATAAGCCCTCTGGAAGATAAACAGAATAGAATAATTTTTTAAATATATTATTTAAGATTAAAATCAGATTAGAATATCTTTATCAAACAGTGTAATTTTTGGTATTAGACAAGCTAATTCCTAGCTAAATTTAATATCAACATCTATGATTATTTAGATTTGAGCCAAATTAGACAGAAAGCTTGAATTTAATAGTTGATTCATATATCTAGAATTGATTTTTGAGCAGTTAGAAAACTTTCTATGTATTATTCAGAAATTTTGTCTTAGAAGCTCTAAAGTTGCCTTACTGATTCAGCATTTCATATCTCATTTTTAATAATCGAGCAAGTCAAAAGCAGATTGCAAGAATGGTATTCCTTAAACTATAGAGCAGGCAAATTTGCCTGCAAAATTAAAAAAAAGTGTTAATTTCTTTATAAAATATTAAATATTAATTTTAGTAATATTATTATTATATAAAAAATAAAAAAGATAGTTTAATATATTTTTTATCAACTTTATTAACAAAAATTTTAAGTTTTTAAAAGGTTTTTAAAATAATTTAATTTTAAAATTAAGTTTCAAAAAATTTATTATAATAAAGTTTTAAAAATTCTTTAAAAATTTATGTTTGCATACTAATTGAAATACTTTATCATTAATTAAAATCATAAAATTTTTTAATAAATTATAAAAATGATAATAATAAAAGTTTTTCTTTACAAGTAATTTTATAATATTCTATTATGATTAATAATATTAAAAGTAAATTCTAAAAAGTTTATTATAGATCAATCATAAAATTTTTTAAAATAAAATTTTTTTAAAAATTACAAATTTTTAGTTTTAAATAATATTAAATTTTTATTATATATATAATTAAAAAATAAATCTTCTTACAATATATTACATATTTATAAAATTAATTTAAAAAATAATAATTATTTATAAAAGTAAATCAGAAGAGAATTTATAGTAAATAAGCAGGTAAATTTGCCTGCAAAACTCTATGGTTGAAGGGATAATATTAGCATTTCGCATGTATTATATCTAGCAATCAAAAAATAGCAAATAGATTGTGATATATCTTTAACAAATGGTGAAATTGCAAATTCAGCACATTGTATCTCATCTATCATTCAAGAAATAGCAATTAAGAAGAAAAATACATGGATTACAAGTTTGGCATTTCACATATCTCACTAGCAATTAAAAGATAGCAAATAAATTTCAAAACAATTTAGGCAAATAATAGGAATGCAAGCTCAGCATTTTGTGTCTCATCTAGCATTCAAGAAATGGTAATTGAGAGAAAAAATATATAGGTTACAAGTTCAGCAATTTGTGTTCGACTCAACAATCAAATAGGAGTATAAAGGTAGGATTTAGCTAAATTTTAATATAATAACTTAGTATCTAAACTAATATAAAAGTGATCTAGAAATAGCAAATTAATAGAATCATTCTAGATTTCTATTAGTCTTTCAAATTATGTACTTTAAAGGTCAGCAAAAATTATATTATAGGGCTGATCAAAATCATACTATAGATTTATTGCATTACTAATATTTAACAAAGTAAATTTTTTGCCAATCTAAAGTAAGCTATTTAAGACATAAAAGTAAGGTAACAAAAGACAAGCCTCCTGATACATTTTAATTTACATAGATATAACATACTCTGATTAACTAATATGTAATCAAATAAACTATAATATTCTATTACATATTAGTTTATATAAATACACTATACTCTAGTTAACTAATATATAATCAAAGACTATAATATTTTGTTACATATTAGTCTGGACTAAGCTGATATATTAATATATTAATATATTAATATGTCAGCTAGATTAGATTAATTAGTACATATCAGTTATTTAATATATCAGTTAATAAATCTTTTAAAGTTAATAAAATAAAAAAATAATATAATGGATAAGTAAAAATATTATTAATATATATGATAATTAAAAAAATAAAAGAAGATACTTATTATAAAAAATATATATTTTTATTTTATACAAATTATAACAAAAGTATAAAAGTATTTATTTTTAATAAATATTTAATTTAACAAATACAGTCAGAGCTCGATATAACGAACCTTCTGATTTACTATGAAATTTTTTAAAAAAAATCGGTTTATCAAAATTTATAAGTTCTATATAACGATTTTTATATGTTCAAATATAAAGTCAAATTTTTTAAAAAAATCGTTTTAACAAGATTTTATTAAGTAATCGTTATATCGAGAATCGTTATATCGAGTTCTGACTGTAATATAGATAAAAAACAATTAGATATTATGAATCAAGTCAAATATTATATTAAATTTTAAACCTCTAATATTTACATTAATATTTTAATAAGTAACTAAAAGGATTTAATTTGATATTTGATCTAAAATATATCTTAAATACCTTCAAATTAATTAATTTTAGCAACATAGAACCTTTGGATGACAATTGCCAAAAAGATAATTTTACTTACAAATATATCACGTGATACAATGATGATATATAATTAACAGTCAAGAAATGATATTTTGAGTGATACGAAAACCAGTGGTATAGGGTCGACCATCTGTGTGGGGAATTTGATATGTATGGCTTCAAAAATATTATACAACACTTCAAATAAACAAACCTTTCCATACTAACCACACAAAATTTTAACGTCATACACCATGACCCTACACCACTGTTTTCCGTCTTGAGTTTCACAATTATGGATTCAAAAAAATTGCTTTAAAATCCATTCATTTCTGACCGGTGAGTTCGAGTCGTGTAACTTTAAGAACTATAAAGTTAACGAATAAAAATTAATTTGTTTAATATACACTTGCATAGTCACGTTTTACTTGGGGATAAAAAAAATAAGTCTACCGAAGGACAGTCAGTCAGGAAATTGGCAGCTGTGCCACAATGATCGCATACATGAATTTTCTCATTTTCATGTGAATATTGGAAGAACTATAGTGAAAAAAATTAGATATTGTTGTATTTATTTATTTATTACACGCATGATTAAAATCTAAAAAAAAAAAACTCGAATCCATGATTGCGGATTGTTGACTGCGTGAAGAAAAAAAATAAAATAAAAATAAAAAATAAAAATAAAAACTCAAAAAGCCAACTTATCATTTATTTTTCCGCAAATCCTTTAAACATTACTATTTTATGTTGATAACCTTCCTAATAATATTTTTGATTTAATTCGTTTACAAATATAAGACTTATAAACACACATATGTGTAATTATTTGTAAGATTTTTCGAAGCAGAGATTTATCTTTGAATCTACAAATAAGATTTTGAACCCGATATAGTACATGTTTCGGTTATTTTCCGAATATACAAAATAAAATAACCAAATTCTGTAATATATATATATATATTTTTATTGGAGAAACAAATCGAACTTTTCTTCGTTATGCATATATATTTATGATGATCAACATTGAGCGAATGGAGAATGACATAATTTCATTTGTTCACTATTATGTATTAGTTAATAAAATCATGCAACATGCAAAAACATTTATATGTAAACATGGGGAACTATTTTATTTTACAAACAATTTTAAAATGCGCAGCTTGCCAAAGACAATTTTAAAAATAAATGATCTTCGTTGGACAAAAGAACGCCAAAACAGTTTAAGTAATTTATTTTCAAGCGGTGTTTATGTTTGTATTAAATAAATGAAGCTAATATCGTACAGGAATTAACCAATTGGTTAATCTTCAGAGACGCGTTAACTTGATAATTCTTAGTGTGAAAAAAATTAATAAAAAAAGGTATGTTATAAAAAATAAACCATAAATTATATTTTATATTGTTTAATAATTAATTTATGTATGACCTTTGTTATACGACTTTGTTGATAATTTAAATATCTTAATAGATTCGGTAAGGGAATTTTTAATTCAAGTGATTCTTCAACGCACTGTAAATCATAATAATCCCTTTTCCTTTAAATCAATGCATTTACATTATTTAAATGATGCAAAAAAATTTGTGAATCCGTCGTATTGGGTCCAAGCCATATGCAAAAGCTTATTTGCATCTGGCTGACGGAAATAATAAATTAAAACTTACCAGCTAATTGTTTTTAGGAAACACAATTAGATTATAAACAAAGGGAAAAAAAAAAAATTGAACAAAAATATGAATCACCAAATCCACATAAAAACCCACGAGTTTTGACTCAAGCATGAATCAAGTTTCTGTCTTGACCTTTACAAAAAGTTCCCTCCCCCTTCCCCCTCCCCCCTCGAAATAAAAATAAAAAAAAACAAAAAAAAAATCGTTAAGGGTATATGAAAAATAAGTAACTTTCAAAGCTTATACAGTAAATATATATAATTTATTCTATTATGTTAAATACAGTTGGTGATTATCCTTCCGTTCCACTTGTTCAAGATTTTTCTACAAATCTTGAGCAAGAAATCGAAGTCGCTCGTCAAGTTAAGCCTCCATTTCCACCCCAAATTACTCCGAAAGAATTAATCGTTCAAAAAAAAAATGGGGACATGCCGTCTAGATCGCCAAATGCGTTTATGATTTATCGAAAACTCTTCGTCGATGAGTTACATAATAAAGGACTTTATTTACCGATGACAACAGCATCTTCTATGGCATCTACGTCGTGGAAAAATGAACCGGAATTCATTAAGCAAGAATATAGACGTATTGCTTCTGAGGCTAAAAGTCGACATCTGAAACTATATAATCAAATTCCACGTCGAAAGAAGAATCAACGAAAAATTCGGAACGTACAATCGACAAGCTGGTTACAGATCATACCGCAATATGATCAATCAAGATCGGAGAATTCAACAGCCGTTTCGTCTCCGATTGCACCTTCTCCCATATCTGAACCAACTTCAATCTTAACGGAAGGAATTTCACGCTTATCATCTCATATACCTATACCTTACGGACTTTCTTCGATCCATATTAATGACAATGAACCTACAGGATTTTATTTACCACAAATTCACCAATTTCCCGTTGAAATCGAAAGAAATAATAGCATTTCCGCAGGAATCCCATCGATGGAATTGGCAAGTAATAATAACCCTGGATTTGGAGATCATGCTAACATGGTTTTCTACGATAATTTCGTGACGAATTATCATTCTCCATATTCTCCATATCAACAACCTTACGAACTTCAAAACCCCGTCCCTCAAAACTTTCTACATATGTCGTCGTCTTATCCTTATTATTATTGAATATGATACAAAAAAAAATCATCGTCGTTATTCGTTATTTTTTTTATTGTTTTATCTATTTTTTATTTTTTTTAGAATATATGCTTCCTAACCACGATATAGAACACATTTATGTCATATCGGCTATGATTTCTCTCGTTAAAGTTCGCATTCGTATTGAATTTTTTTCCCTTGAATATCTCAATAATTAACACAATTTCTTATTTCATCTTAAGCTGCGCTTCAAAAAAAAAAAAAAACTAAACTAGTAGAGTTGTTAAGGTTACAATAATAATTAAGGTGTTTTGCTTGTATAATAATAATAATAATAATAATAATAATAATAATAATAATAATTCAATATTGATGAATGAATTAAAAAAAAGAATAAAATAAAATAAAAGTTTTTGATTTTTGATCCATTTTCTTTTTCCATGATCTTGAGTGTAAATTACGTAATAAGGATAATTAGGAGAAGGGGGATAACGTTCCACACCGCATCATTTTACGCCTTAATATCGCAAGGTGTTACACGGTATTTTAACATATAAAATATACAATAAAATAACATTTAGGCAGGCAACGTGGATAATTCAATATTTGTGTTTGATTCCTATTAGTAAGACATCATTTTCTTTTTAATGAACCAAAAAAAAAAAAAATAAATAAATAAACAACAAATGTAAAGAATTCCCTGCTTACATGCACATTATAATGTAATAAATTTGGCGCTTTATGTTTGTAAGTTATAATAAACAAATCAGCAAAAATATAAAAAGATATAATCAAATCGGCAGGAGAATAATTTACATGCATATTTGATATATTAAAGTGATGACATCATTTCATCGGTATTATAATGTCAATAAATTGTATACAAAATAATCTAGGTCATATTGTTGATCGATCAACGGTTATGTGTAACGATGCATCTTAAATTCCAATTAAAAAATCTCTCGTAATGATTAACCTCAATTTTTCATCATGGAAGAAAATATCGACAAAATACGCCGCTTAATTATTGCATCTTTTTATATTGTAATTTTGCTTGGTCTACCCTTATGGTGGAAAACTACTGAGGTGTATCGTGCGCAATTACCATTTGCTGAAATTGAAGAATGGTCAAATTGGGAGGTTAGTAATTGGTATGTTTTTACGTTCTAAATTAATAATTTTATATATCACCCCATTTTATTTTCTAATAAAATGATTCAAGTTTTAATTATTTAATTTATTTAATATAGGCATTCGACTTGGAATTTCCAACACATTTTACAATTTATGTTGCTAATGTTGAATCGGATAAAATTAATATTGCAAATTTGTCTTCAATTTTGGAAAATTTGATTATATCAAGATACAATGATATAAATGCACATAATAATTATAAACCTCAAAAATCAATTCTATTTCCAGTAAAGGTGGAATCATTTAACTGGGACAGCTGGATGGATTATCTTCAAGATGGTAATAAATATCATATTTGACCATATGTCATTTGCGATTTGTATTTTTTTTTTTCAATCTTTTTTCTTTGTCAAAACATTTTACAGGGAATCTTGAAGCATTAAATTCGGTAAGTGAAAGTGGTCAATACGTTTTTTACATTATGCCAAACACAAAATCAAATTCAAAAGCCAAAGTTTTGGTGGGAAATCAAAGACAAGCTATTATAGAAGTAAATCATTGGGACACGTGTAAGTATGATTTGAATAATTAATGTTTTAATAATAGGTTTGGTTGAATGTTATAAATTTATTAATCAAATCACCCTTATAGATGTGATTGAAAAGACGATTTCTGATCTCATAACCAGTTTATTCACTCCAGAACAAATTTCAATTAAAAAATTCATAATGGAACCTTCTCCAGATTCAAAAGTTGAAGTCGATAGTATGAGGACGATGAAATATTCACCACAATATCAAGTAACATTTAGTCTCATGAATGGAGATCCATCGAATCTACTGGTGAATTGGGATATAGAAAAGACAGTCAATAAATATTTGCAGCCATTTGTTGATAAGATCTCTGTGATTTCAAATTTGACAGTAGATTCACAAATTCAACATTATGCAAGGTTAACCTTTGAACCACATCATAAATCAGATGAAAAAATTCTCTCTTTAACGCCAGAATTATTGCCACATTTCATAAATGCAGCAGAATGGAATCTTGCATCTGCTGTATCATCATATCCAACATTAAATTTTATATTGTACGTTCCTTCAAAAGAGCAAAGCCCGTTATACATTCAAGATTCTAAAGGTATTTCATAAAACCATTAAATCATTTTTCGGATTTTTTTTTTTTTAATTAAAATATATTCTAAATCAAATCAAGGTAATATCATGGAAAGTAACGCCTTTCTAATACCAAGATGGGGTGGAGTAATTATCAATAATCCAGATAGATCTATCGGATCCCATGATTTTTCATTGGAGGAGTTAAAGTCAGTGATGTCAATATTTTTGATGCAATTAAGAGGATTACTAGGCGTTCAAGATGTTTGGATTGAAGCAAAACATGCTTTGGTACTTCAATTTTTATATACTATAAATTTTATAAATTGTATAAAAAAAAATTTATAATAATTTTTTTTTTTTTAAAAAAAAAAACTAATATTAGGATGTAACGATTAGTATCGAGTTTGTTACACCTCCAAGTGCAGCAGTCACAATGTGGGAATTTGACAGTTTAGTGAGGAGACGTATTGCAGAGAACATCGTGACTTCGATATCAACATTAAAATCTTTATCACAATTAGTAACGGAAATTCCAAATATGGTTGTATTGGATCATATTCAAACTGAGGTATCCGATTCATTTTAATAAATTCAATTATTTAATTCAAATATAATATAAAAATATTTAATTTATTATAAAGGTTTTGCTGGCATTGGATAATTTATCAAAGGTATTAGTTATTATTAGAATTTAATTATATTATTAAAAAAATTTTAACTTTTTTTATCAATTCATTATAGTCATGCGCAAATTTGCATAATAAACAGTATGATTTGGCGTTATATCATTCAAAAAAGGCAATCGAACTTGCGGAATCTGCCTTCTTTGATCCAACAATGGTATCAATGCTCTATTTTCCAGACGAACACAAATATGCTATATATATGCCTTTGTTCGTTCCAATATCAGTACCATTGCTCGTTGCACTTTTCAGAGAGATTAGGAATTATAGGGAAAGATGAAACTAGTTATTTCCTTAATTTTAAAAAAACTGCTGGTTAAATTTAATTTTAATAGATTTGAGATAGATAACTTAATATCTAAAACTTCCAAAAGTGTTATACCAAATTATAAATCGAAATTGTTGATTTATAATTATAAAGAATTTTTCACTTTTGCGATTTAGATTTAGATCTGTTTTAATCCGCGTGTATGTTGTTTCACGATAATCTTTAATCCATTATATCCAATTATACCTATTTCTATTGGAATTTTATTAAATTTTGGTAGGGACGATATGCAAATAAATATGTCATTTCGGTTTTGTGTAATATATATTTTATTTATTTATTTTTTTCCTATTAAATACAGACATTAAATTTTTTTTTTCTTTTACGTCGCGTAATATATTAAGTGGATTTTTGAGTGTTGTATCTGCTTTTTTTCATTTAAAAATGTTTATTCGTTATTCATTAGAATTTCTTCGTATTCATAGTCGAAAGTTTTCTTATCGACTTAACGCAATTCCTGTACGGACATATGCTGTAAGTTTGCTTAATTCATTTGCTCGACTCAATGATATTTGCTCATTTTAATCACACGTCCATTTTGTTCCCCTTTAACTTTTTAGAATTTAACGGAAATTGTTAAACCTCATTGCGCAATTTTGTTTCCAGGTAAGCAATTTTACTTCTATAACAGAGCTGATATTTTGTCTTGCTCTAAAAAATCAAATATCTGTCTCTTTTTTTCTTAGTTTGATTTTTCATGAATTCATTAAAGAAGCTTTTAAAGACCAGACATTTTCTTGCTAGGTGTTATAGGAAATTATTTTGATTTCAAAAAAAAAAAATTTGAAATTTTTTTAGAATAAAATTATTAATTAAACAAATATTTTTGATAAATTGAATTCGAACTTAAAAAATTAATCATATAGGTCAAGGCGCGCAGTATGTTGGAATGGGAAAAGATCTTTACGAGAATTTTGCTTCAGCACGTCAAATTTTTGATGAGGCTGATGAGGTATTAGGTTTTGATCTAAAAGGGTTAATATTTAATGGAACGCAGGTATTTTCATTTTTATTATCGCCACCTTATGTTAAATCTTATAACATTTTAATTCTAACCATGCAAATTTATATACATACATACATATTAGAGAGAATTGATGCAGACGGAAAATGCGCAACCCGCGATATTAACAACATCTTTGGCCATTCTTAATATATTAGAGGTAATTTGTGAGGTTATTTATGATTTCATGTAAGTGAATGCTAATTATTGAAATATATTTGATTTTTAGAGTGAATACGGTTTTGATGTCGAATCCGCTTGCACTTTTGCGCTTGGTCATTCATTAGGAGAGTATACAGCTCTCGTTGCTACAAAAGCATTATCCTTACATGACGCTATCAAGCTTGTGGTAGGTTTCTTGTATATATAAATTCTACTTTATCGAGAGCAATCGTTTATTTCGTTATACTTATAGAGATTACGCGGAGAATCCATGACAAAAGCCGTTTTAAAATTGAAAGTAAAAACAGCCATGTCAGCATTGATTGTACGAGAAGAAAATTTAGCAGAGATAGAAGAATCAATAAAAGAACTCAATTTATCTTTGCCTGAAGGTGAAATTGTAGAACTGGCAAATATTAATAGTGTAAGTGTAAATATATTATCTTTATAAGTTTTCATTAAAGTATAAAATTTTATTAATTTTATATAATTTACAGTCGTTTCAGGTACGTTATTTTTTATGATCCGATTTTCTTGTAGTAAAGATGAAATTATTAAATAAACATTTATTTCATGACAGGCTGTGATAAGTGGTACCAGAAGCGCTGTTGATTATGCATCAGAAGTACTACAATCTAATCATCTTGCAGCGAGAGCTTTGGACCTTCCTGTATCGTAAGAAAATCTTTTATAAATATTGAACATTTATTTTAGATTGAGTTATCAAAAATAAAGTAGTTTATTAAATATTTTTTTTTAGTGCACCATTCCATTGTAAGCTGATGCAACCAGCTGCCGACATGATGAAAGCATCACTTAAAAATATAAAATTTAATAATCCAGTTATTGATGTCATATCTAACGTGACGGCTAACCCGGTAATGATTTTTGAATTAAAAAGTTTTTATTTCGGGAACATGCATTAATAATTACACTTTTTATGTTATTTGTAGATAAAATCCGTCACTGAAATACCTCGATTGTTAGAAAAACAAGTAACTGCAACTGTACAATGGCAAAAGAGCATAAAATTCTGTAAAGAGAGAGATATTAATACTTTTATTGTAATTGGGCCCGCTAGAGTTTTGGCTAATTTATTAAAAAAAGAATATCCAATGGATCGTGTTAGGTTAGATTTGTGAAAAGATGACTGTGTGTTTTAATATTACCCCCATTTTTGATGATAAAAAATTTTTTTTCTGTTTATTAGACCACTTACTACCGTTCAAGATATACAACTAAATTCGAAAGATTTCAAGATTAAGCAGTTGAGCACTTTATAATGTAAGTTCATATGTTCTTTTTGTATTTTTGTTATATTATTTAATAAAAAAAATTCATCATCATAGAAATATTTGTCCGGATTATGTGACTACGATATAACAACTTACGTTGTATTGATGAGATATATATATATATTATTATACAGTTGATAGAAAATTAAAAAAAAAAATTATTATTATTAAACAAATTTATATTATTTCATTGGACTGTGAAGATTTATCGATGAGATGATTATTACATGTTCAAAATAAAAATGCCTCTAGAAATAAAAATACTACCCTAATAATAGACTAATACACCTTTGATATAAATTGTCAATCGTCGGACAAAATATAATTTTATTTAATAACACTTTTTAAACAATTGACACGATACGTTTATTATTCAAGATAATATGATTTCCTGTACGTGAAATTCTAATAAAATTTCATTATTTGCATCATTGATATTTATAATCAAATGGACTCAAAGTTATAGCGAGCTTTCGTTATGATTGGCTATTTTTTGTAGACGTAGAATTTTAATGAAAATTTTAAAAAGCCTAATTTATTATACTTTCAAAATAATTTACTTGAAATAGTAATTTGAGACATTTTAAAGCTAATTAATTATTTACTTTATCAAAATAAATTACGCGAAATAGTAATTATTTTTTATTTGAAAAAAAAAAATAAGGAATTGACTGAAAAAAAAAAGAATTGACTAAAAAAAGAATTAGGGGCTAATATTAGGATAAGGGGCTGCTACAATTTACTTGTTGATCTCTTTTTTTGCTTCGCCAGCATTTTTGGTGACCTTGCCTTCTCCTTGCATCTGTTCATTACCGATCGCTTTACCAGCGGTTTCTAAAATTAACATTAATATACATTAATATTATAAGGTTTTAAGCATTTTGAATTATATTCTGAGCCCAAATTTTATACCTTTCAAGCCTCCTGTCGTTTTATCTTTAAAACCCTCGGCTTGTCCTTGTACTTGTGCGGCTTTGTATTCGCCTTCACCTAAATTCATGAGGAAATCATAAATTACACTTTTGATACTTATTATAGATCAAATAGTGATATTAAAAAATTTTAATTACCTTCAGCTTTCTTTGCTTTTCCTTCAGCTTGCATTTGTTCATTGCCTAACGTTTTGCCTGCAGTTTCTTTAGCAGCACCTTGATAGTATTTAACGTTACCAGTAACTTTGGATGGTTCGTTAGATTTGTTAGAAGACATGATTATTTATTTGTATAGTTGTTTTAAGAAATTAAAAAATTGGGGGATTTTTTATTAATATATTGCGAGTTTGTGGTGATGAAAAAAAAGGGAAAATTTGTAGCGTATTTATAATAATAATTCATGTTCGCAGACACTTTTGATGTCATTATAACGTATAAATTTTTTCGTGAAGAAAAATATATTATACGTAATTTACATTTTATTGTGATGAAATTATTTGCAAAAAATGATCAATTTCTACATCATCCTTACGAAACTTTATCAAGACAGGTGAAAAAAGAAAGGATGCGCCAAATAAAACTAGTAATTATGACGAATATACAAATCATCACATAAGGTGTTATGTGAAAACCAATTCTCTTATTCTTTAATGGTGATCAACGAACTCGTCATACTTTATTGATTACGAGATCGACACGAGCTTGCTTCGATTTAACGTCATAATGATACAAAAAATATTTCGGTGTTTTTGGATATCCATCTTTTGATATATTACTTCCAATTTCCAATTTGCTTGAGATCCCGAAATCCTTCGTTGTAAACACGTCATATTCTTAGCCAACCATCTTTTTTTATTATATATATTATATATTCTTTGACGTAATATTTGGCATAAAAATGTTTTGTATATACGGAAAATATACAGAAAACCGACGCGATTAATATTTCAAGAATTATATCTTAATATTGTGATTAAATATCGATTTGTAGTATTTAGTTAATAAAAGAGTTAGAATAAGTATTTTAACATTTTATCCATTTTTGATATCCATTTTTGCTAAAAAAAAAAATGATAATAATAAATTTAATTCATGTTATGATTCTTAAAGCGAAAGATATTTAGGTATAGCGAAAAACGATAAATAACATATATTTTATAATTTATATTTATTAAAAATTGATATTGTTTTATATTTAGATTCAATTTTTTTAAAAAAAATATCTTATTGCTTAATGAAAAATTAAGGCAGTCTAGTCTTTTTCTTTAAAATTATATAAAATTATAAAAATTATATTAAATATATAAATTATAAAAATTATATTAAATATATAAATTTTAAAAATTTATATTAAAAATCATAAAACTTAGTAAATATATTAAAAAACTAATTAAAATATTAAAAAACTTATATTAAATCTAAAATTGGTTTATTAAAGTATAAATTTATATTAGCTTTATAAATAATATAAAATTTTGCATAAATTTATCAGAAAATATTAAATTTAAATAAACTTTATGATTTATGATAAAGTAATAGATAAAAAATTATAATATTAAGAATATCAAAATAAAATAAAATTAATAAATATAAAATCTTAAAATGATTATTTAAATCATAAAAGTTTAAAAATCTAAAATATTGTTATTAGAAATAATTTCTCTTTGCATGTTATTTGTCTAAGTTACTTTATTATAACAAATAAATTCCTTATTATTAGACTTTATAATTTTAGAATATCTCATATCTTATAGAAGATATTCAGAATTTCTTAAAATTACTTTGTTTAACTTTATGAATTTAAGATTATAGGGATTTAAGAAAACTTAAAAAATTTATTTATTTTTAATGACAACTCAAAGCAAATTAATGTAGTAGTTTACAATTAAATCCTAAATGAAGAATATGGGAGCTTTGCTATTAAAAGTGGGTTCCGAGACTATAAATTGATTTTGAGTTAAATGATGATCAAAAAATAG